GAAACAGGGGAGGAAGAGAGGCAACAGGGCCGAGAACCAGGGGAGGAATAGTGGCAACAGGGCTGAGAACAAGAGGCCGAAGAAGAAGATATGTATCACCTGTGGTAAGTGACGAGGAAGAGGAAGAGAAACATGAAAGGGAGGAAGAGAAAGTTGAAGAAAAAATGGAGGTTGAGAAGGTCACAAAACACGATGAGGAAACCGAAAAGAAAGAAGAAGAAGAAGAAGAGTTTAAGGATGAGAAAAAAAAGGCGCCAGAAGAAGAGATAAAAGAGGAGAAAAAAGAGGCGCCAATACAAGAGGAGAAGGAAAAAGTGGAAGGAAATGTCAAGAAGCGACGCCCTATATTCATTTGGCAACCCACCGTGGTTATGGGTAGTGTGCTTTGGATACCGAGCTTTGTCCAAACATGCACTCTCAAGGCGACAGAGCTCTATAATTTTATGAAGATGGATCGTGCAGATCGGTTTTGGAAGTCAGAGATTGATTATTTGAGGAAACCAAGGTTCTGGGAAGACCTTTTGCAGGAGCGGGTCTGGCTAAAGGATGGGGTAAGTTCATTTCTCTTATACCTTTCAATTATTGGTCACTTTTGGTCACTTTTGGTCACATTGGTCACTTTTGTTAACTTTGGTCACGTTGGTCCCACTGGTCACGTTGGTCGCACTGGTCACGTTGGTCACACTGGTCACGTTGGTCCCACTGGTCACGTTGGTCCCACTGGTCACGTTGGTCCCACTGATCACGTTGGTCACACTGGTCACGTTGGTCACTTTGGTCTTCTTAATGCGATCTGACGTTATTTTGTAGCACTTAGACGAAGTTGTACTTGAAATCAGGAATTGCCTGATCAAAGAAAGTTGTCCAACAGCAACAAAGTACATGATTGGCGACACAAGTTTCGGCGAATTCCTCAAATGGTGGGGCCATGGTACTATGACCGATTTGAATGGGCTTGAGGACTACTTTGACGGAAAAGCACCAGTAGGGTGTGGGGATCGCAAGATGGGAAGTTACGAAGGATTTATCACTCCCCTCAGCATACCCTCGTTGGTCAATCCTGATGTAAGTGTGCAGTCAAATACCTGAATCAGCTTCTTCACATTAGATGCATCCCTGTGAAGAAGCTGATTTAGGTATTTGACTGCACACTTACATCAAAATGAGGCCGAACGTTGACGCTATTATTGGCCGGTTGGTGTGGTGGCTCCCAAAGATATATACAGTCGCCAAGATATACCAATTTGATGAAAGCACCATGTTTGACTATCATTACGTCGAAGGGCTGCCTCAAAATGGTAACGGAGATGACTGCGGTGTGTTTACCATCATGTACCTTGAAGCCCTGATGCGAGGTCAAGAAAGAATATTGTGCAATCAAATTTGCGATGAAAATAGTTCATCGATTCGTGAGAAGATTGCTGCGGATATCTTCTCAAATGGCCAGATTGTGAGTCTTGCTCCCGATGTAAGACGTGACAATTCCTCCCCAGATGCAAGATAAATTATGATATTTCTTGTATTCTGTTTGAACCTTTGAACCTTTGAACCTTTGACTTTATTTTTTGTGTTAGATATTTTCTGAATGTTTATTGCGGGAAAATTTAAATTTTCGGAATTGCATATTGGCCAAAATTTTGGAATTCGGTTGGCGGGAAAGTTTAAATTTTCGGAATTGCATATTGGCCAAAAAGTGGAAATGCTTTTCTGCAGAATCAGATGTGTGGGCCCGCTGTAAATGGTATTGGTGCACATCTCCCCATAAATCTAATTCCAATTGATTTACCCCAAACCAGAAATTCAAGTATCCAGACCAGAAACCCTATTACTAAACCGGAAATGTAATCCCCTAAACCGAATTTTATCACATCCCGACGGTCCCACTGGTCCCACTAGTCCCACTGGTCCCACTGATCGAATTTCACGAATTCAACGCTTTGGGAGTGTAATGTACGATCATACAAATGGTTCGGATGAGGAATCGGGGTTGAAAGTCGTTGAGCATTATTCGATCGAAAGCTATGAATACAAAACGAATCCCATAAGTGTTAGTAGTGTTTTAGGAACACTTTGGATCAAAGTAACTTTGTGTTCGGAATTTTTTTGTCCAAACCGCTTACGAGATGTTAGTTTGAAGTGTAATTACATCGTTTCACAGCGCACCAACCTTGTTTGGCTCACCCACAGTTGATTTGGTTCACTTTTATCACATCCCGATGGTCCCACTGGTCCCACTAGTCCCACTGGTCCCACTGATCGAATTTCACGAATTCAACGCTTTGGGAGTGTAATGTACGATCATACAAATGGTTCGGAGGAGGAATCGGGGTTGAAAGTCGTTGAGCATTATTCGATCGAAAGTTATGAACACAAAACGAATCCCATAAGTGTTAGTAGTGTTTTAGGAACACTTTGGATCAAAGTAACTTTGTGTTCGGAATTTTTTTGTCCAAACCGCTTACGAGATGTTAGTTTGAAGTGTAATTACATCATTTCACAGCGCACCAACCTTGTTTGGCTCACCCACAGTTGATTTGGTTCACTTTTATCACATCCCGATGGTCCCACTGGTCCCACTAGTCCCACTGGTCCCACTGATCGAATTTCACGAATTCAACGCTTTGGGAGTGTAATGTACGATCATACAAATGGTTCACATGAGGAATCGGGGTTGAAAGTCGTTGAGCATTATTCGATCGAAAGCTATGAACACAAAACGAATCCCATAAGTGTTAGTAGTTGAATCCCGTAAGTGTTAGGAATACAAGTTACATTTAACGCAGACTAATTACGCGAATAATTTCAAATTTGTTCTTTTCGACGAATCCGATTGTGAAAATGACGATGTTGAATTATGGGGTCTTTTACGAGCCTCGCCAGGTCCAGGGAAACGATTCTGTTTAGGTCTTCCGGTCCGCCGTTTTTCTTCTATTATAGGCGGCATCACTGAAAAATTTAAAATTTCGGGCGGGACAACCCAATCACAAATATCGGGCACCGGATAGACAGTCTCTTGGTAAGCCTTGACCCAAGTCTCTCGCCAGTAGTATTCAGAGCATAATTCGTGAATCTTAGTACCTTTTCCCACCTTATGTGTTGCTGCAATTGCATGGCTACATGGATACCTGTCCACATCAAACTTTCTGCAACTACAGGTTCTATCACCAAGATTTACCAAGTTTCTTCTACCTTTTTCATCCCTTGCCTCAAACATTCCACTCAGCCTGTTAAGTTCAATAACCTCATATGTGCAGGCCTTCTCAAACCGTTCATGCAACACTTTGTACACATACGGAGTTAACTTTTGAGAATCATCAGCACCACATGCTTCCACCCTGTACCTACTGAACCATTCTACCGTCTTCGAGACACAAATATCAAGCAGACTGAGTAGCAGATACCTTTTGGCCTTCTTCAAAACGGAGTTGATTGATTCGGCACCATTGGTGGTTAATAAGTTGTATCTCTGTCCGAAATTTACACATCGCCCACTTCTCCGGAGCAAGTTCTTCTTTTTGCATGTACTTCGCCGCTTTGGGATACCTGAAAATCATGAGATGTTCACATCAGTTTACTCAAGTCACACCGTTGAGAAAATCACACTGGTCCAATTGGTCCCAGTGGTCACACCGTTGAGAAAATCACACTGGTCCAATTGGTCCCACTGGTCACTAAATTCATACATGTTCTTGAAATCAGAGTACAATTCTTCAAACTCCTTCTCCCTGTATTCCGATGCACATTTAAAAAACAATTTAGCCACGGTTTCACCTCTTGAACCCTTTCTTCCGGCTCCCCTATTAACATGTGATTTCAAGTTTTGCGATATGTGCCTTGCACAAAAACCATGATCAGCTTGTTTATATACTTCTCTCACAGCTTTCATTATACTTTTATGTCTATCGGATATCACAACCACATCAGGTCCATCCGGTATTACTTCGCTCAACCTATTCATATGGTCACTAAATTCATACATGTTCTTGAAATCAGAGTACAATTCTTCAAACTCCTTCTCCCTGTATTCTGATGCACATTTAAAATTTAGCCACGGTTTCACCTCTTGAACCCTTTCTTTCGGCTCCCCTTTTAACATGTGATTTCAAGTTTTGCGATATGTGCCTTGCACAAAAACCATGATCAGCTTGTTTATATACTTTTCTCACAGCTTTCATTATACTTTTATGTCTATCGGATATCACAACCACATCAGGTCCATCCGGTATTACTTCGCTCAACCTATTCATAAACCACCTCCATGAAGCGTCTTTCTCTCTATCGATCACACCCCATGCTAAAGGATATTGGTGATGTTCTCCATCTTGCGCGGTTGCCACGACCAATGCTCCCTTATATTCGCTTGTCAAAAATGTCGCATCAACAGCAACAACTTTACGCACATACTTCCATCCTTTTATAGTTGCACTTAACGCGATAAATAGGTACTTGAAGCTTTTCTGATCATTGTCCAACTCAAGACGCACTATGGATCCAGGATTTCTTTCTCTCAGCATGTACA